TCTGGGCAGACGGTAGAATAAAATAAGATGCATTATCATCAGTTATAGCAAATAAAGAAGTGGTTTGACAACGTGTGACAACGTGCGACAACGTGCGACAACGTGCGACAACGTGCGACAACGTGCGACAACGTGCGACAACGTGCGACAACGTGCGACAACGCGCGTTTAGAGCAACAAGACAGCGGATTGGCCAGTCACACCGGCAATTATCAGAATCCAGTACGCCACCATTGACACAGGAATACAAATTACACTCTGGGCAAGACGGTAGAATAAAATAAGATGCATTATCATCAGTTATAGCAAATAAAGAAGTGGTTGAACGTGCGACAACGTGCGACAACGTGCGACAACTCGCGTTTAGAGCAACAAGACAGCGGATTGGCCAGACATGCCACTTTAGACGTACTAAGTTTTCAACATTCACAGTGAACACTTGTAAGTATCCTCCACCTCGTGCTGGTTTCCCAGATTCTAACCACAGAATTGAGTTTGTAATTGTTATACTTGCCTTATTTTTATTCAAGCCAGCGTACATTTTACAGTTAAAACCTTACTACATGATACAACTGAGAATGTCAAATTACTCATAACTTCGGCGTAAAACGTTTAAATTTATAAACCACGTGATAAACTGCTTGTGATTTTAGTGGCTGTACATGTGCATGTATTTATTTGATATTAATTTTGTATAGAACCTGTTAATAGGCCTGGTTCCGGTAGAATATAAAAATAAACAAGTGTTATTACATCGGACAGTTTCAGGTAAGTTATCTCATGATGAACATAGTGACGGGTTGGTTCTGTGACGTCAACATGACGTATATATCATCTAGAGAACAATCTCCGTTGGGCGATGGCAGATCAAAACAATATTGACAGTTTGAATGGTTTTTACTTCACAGACGCGTTCGCCACTAAAGTGCGCAATTTACGGGGAAAGGTGCATTTTCTATACATACAAGCTTGCTTAGTTGTCTGTACAGTGTATTCAGCGGACGTAACTTTATTTTATTTTAACTTGTGCTACCTTGACAAGACCTTCCAGCCCATGGAATAGGACAAAAACATTTGCAATGATCTTCACTCCATTTCAATTGTCCACCATTCTCACAAACGTTATGAGCATCGAAACAAGCTACAAGATACAAGTTTGTTATTAATTTAACAATTAGACGTGGCTGGGAGACTAAACTTATCAAATCCGCGGAAATTACTACATAAACATACGATACCTACCGCATTCTTTGCATTGCACAGGGCAGTATGCTTCGTCATATTCAGGGACAAGTTGAGTCGGTTCTTCCCAACATTCGGTTTCACTAACGGAGCAATTGGCTGGAGACGATCGAAATATACATTCAAAGTTATTCATTAAAATATAAACAAGGACACAGAATAAATGAAATTGAAAAGACCACACTATACAGACAATTGATAGTGAAAAAAAATGTAATTACTACTGTGAGAGTAGACTACATCTGAAATTTCCTGGAAATGAATTGTGACGATTGTGGTCGATCTACTGTTGACTAATTTCAAACCACATCAATCAATTTCATCTACGCTTTGTTTACCAGTAGTGTTCAGGGGAAAATTCTTACAGATATAGATAAATACGAGTACACGTTTTTATATTGATCGTGGAATTAAAACTTATTTCAACACTATTGTATTGAGTTTGTATCAATTAACTCGCTTTCTAAATATTCCCACTCAAATTTGCCTGCAGTATTCCTTATGAGCGAATGAACATCGCATCAAATACAACCGATTAAAAGGAGACTTACTTTCACATTGGTTTCCTGTGAATCCATCGGCGCAATGACAGCCACACGATTCGTTAAGGTAGCCCCTTCCATAGCAGTTACTTCCATTACAGACTGAAAAAGTGAATAATCACCAGATTAACCATCTATTTAAACTCAAATTGTATGTACATTTTTCTAAGGCATCTTGCAGCACATGCCAGGGCATGATTTGAATATGCACAACATTGGAGTTCTATAATAATAAAAGCCTCATAGCTATTTACCATCAAGCTGACAGTTGTGATTATTGTAACGCAGGATATATCCGTATGGACACTGGCAGTGATAGGATCCGACTGTGTTTACACATTTGTATTCACAGGCACCACGTTGGACTCTGCATTCGTCAATATCTGGAATTAAGAAATCGCGAAAGTTGTGACAAATCGAAAAAAAATTTAACAATTGGAAATTCATTACTCCTAGCCACACGTCAACAGACTTACCATTACATCGCTGTTTATCGCTAGCCAGTATGTAACCATGGTTACATTCACAGAAATAATCACCATCTGTATCGTTCAGACATCTATGTTCACAGTCTAATCCTGCTTCGGACATGCACGCTGTAACGTTGATTTCTTGTGGTCCAATAAGACGGGCTACAACAATTGAAAGTGAAAATCAATATTAGCACATTGTTGTTCCCACAGCGATGCTGTTCAACACTTCATCTGATTTAAACCGGTGCCTCCCACTCAAATCCTTATAAATTGACAAGCCGAGAAGGAAACGATTCAACTAATACTCAAATTGCGTGTATCATCTAGACTCAATGTGCACCACTTACCAACATCGCCCCCTATTGACACGGGTGGATAAAGCGACTTGCATAGATTACCGTCTTGAGACAAAATAAACTCTTCATCGCATTCACAGTGATACGATCCAATAGTGTTGACGCAGGTGTGATCACACTTGCCGTTGTTTTCAGCGCATTCGTCAAAGTCTGGGAGAAAGAAATGTCAGCATTTATTTCTTGTGCAATTAAACAAATTAATTCATACCAAGGTTACATAGACTAGGTGGAAGGCATATCTGGTCTTACCATTACAGGTCCGCTCGTCTTCATTCAATTGGTATCCGGTATTGCAGCCACAGGTAAAAGATCCAACATTATTGATACAGAGATGTGCGCATGCGTTCATATCAACGTCACATTCGTTAATATCTATCAGAGAGAAAGTAACAACCCTAATGCTAATTTCTATTGAAAATATTTTCGATTACCACAGGCACACTCCCACATTGCATGCAAATATAAAAACAGTTGTGTTAACAGGTAGCCATTCACTTACCTTGACATCGACCAGAGCTTTCATAATACCCCGGAGCACAGACACATTCACAAGTGTAAGGGTTAATGGTTGCGTCATCTGGACATTGCTGGAATCCACGATCTGAAACGAAAATTAGTTCATTATTACTTTATTGAACAAAATGTATACGTCCACATGTAACGATAAACTATCGATCTTAGACATTCAATTACTCACCGGTGCAATACTTGTGGTAGGCGGCGTCAGACTTGCATCTACATTCATTGGCGTCAATGACTTCATGAATACCACATACAATACTACAACTACATGGCTGCCATAGGTAATTACAAATAGAATCTGAACAAATACAAAGTTACACATTGAATAACACGTAAAAGAATCTTGTCTGAAAAACTGAACTGAACTACACTGAACATTCCATAGTGTTGACTTACCACAAAGATTTTGATTGCACCATGACGACCCAGAGTCACACGTGGAACACGCTTCTCCTTGTCTATAAGGAATGATTGCATCTGCAATGGGCCCACTGTAAATTAAAGCGTACAACACTGAAATTCGACGAAGGATTTGGTTTACTTTTATCCTTGCCCGTATCAGATACTCGTGCACGCTTTACTGCATGCAAGTGGCTATACTAACTGTTCCGTTATTTAAAATCATACATACATACATTATTAAAGATGGAATATGGACAAAAACACATTTAGACCAAATTTAATTGTGATTTGTCATGAACTAAAAATATTGTGTCAGCAGGACAACAGATGAAACATTGAAACTACCAATACGCATGTGCAGTGATCATTATTGTACACACCAAAACAAAGAGTGCACATGCGTATTACAGCTGGTATTGGGGGTTTTCATTGTTTCATGGATTGAAAACTCAATGTGTGTTCAAGAATACAATATCAAACTCTAAAACTTCTCTACAAGGTTACACCTTCAAACTGCAAGTCGAATAGATAACTACTTACTCGCCAAGGTAATAGCACTTCCAGTAAATTGAGTTTGTTCTAAGAACGTCGTTGACATCGTCGTGTAATGTTTCACATAGTTGTTGAGCACATCCCACTTTAATTAGTCTGGCTGTTGTAACCTACAAGTAATAGTTATTTTCATTGAATTAAAAGCGGTTGGTCGGATAATATCAACTTGCAAGGTTTAATTAAAATCGAATAAATATTTATCCGATTCAGATGTGTTCAGCATATCCGGTACCTGGTTATTCTATTACGTTATTCTATCATCGAATAAGAATAAAGATGATGTACACCTTTATCATACGTTATGTGTTCTTCGTTCATGCAAAAAATACTTATTACTAACCATAAAATGCTAAAACTAGTTTCAAATTCTGTTAAAACCGCAACTAAAATATCAGTGATGAATACGTGAATGCAAGTATGAAACTACATGAATACATACTCGGCCCTGAGAAATGTTAGTGCAAGAACGTATTTAGTAAGAAAAATGGCCTTGGGTGTTTTAAATGCATTTATATGCTGCGTTAAGTTTCAATATGGCGCAAGGTATTTGTATATTGAAATTCTGCGCCTATGAAACTCTAAAAGACATTGTATGATAGCATGCCTTGGGATCCACCCAATGCATTTACTGCGCTGGTCAATGTAAACAAAGATGAAATACTGAACCGATCCAGTTTTTTGATTACATATATTAACGAAGCGGTACACAATGCTCACATATAGTAGAGATTCTGAGCGATAACCATTGCGTTTATTTAGACATGTATTCAATGCAGTGTTCAATTAGCAAGTGTCGGCAAACAAGAATTATGTCGCGATCTTTTCATAGTTTAGATTTGTTTAGAAACAAGCTGCAGAAACCTTTTAAGAAAAATCGTCCACATTCATGTTACAACATTGTAAAAACTGTCTTGAGCTCAGATAGCTTAATTTTGTATCTACTTGTGTTCAATCTCTGAGGTTCAATTTATAGGCCGATACACAATTGTAATGCCACAGTTCTTTTCAACGCTTCAGTGTGGTAGAAATTACCAATTATGCCAATTGTTACAAAACAAAAGGCAGCCACGTTGTGTTTGGTAATTATTCGTCCCAGTAGATCATTTATTTGAGAAGGTGGAATATTCACTACTGTTTCAAAGTTAGGGTTAAATATTCACAGATAGGGCCATCATGTACATTACCTAAATTCCCCAAGAAATGAAAATATGATTTTAAAAACAGGCAGGCACTAAATCCCGCTTTTCAAGACTTAAACAAGTATCCACTTAATATTAATCAGCAAATTTGTACACGCTGGTCAATGAAACCCGCGTATCTACATATTTTACTATTTTGGTGAAAAAATGCCACAATATGGCCATAAACGCTCTTGGAATATTCACAGCAATGGTACATTATGGAAACCTACTATTCTATATACACTGCACTTGTCTTCATCAATTCCACATTCCCCATTGTACGAGTTATAAACTTCTCCAAAGTCGACGAAATTATGTACGAAGTCATTAAGACGGAAATCTACATCATCGCTTAGTCCAGTAACTTCAGCTACATAGCGTCTATCAGCCAAACGTCTAGGAAGGTTGATATGATATGTACAGGTGTCGACAACCTGCTGGGCAATATCTCTTACACCGATTTCCCATTCCTGATAAATGGAATATTTCTCGTTAGCAATAGTGATTTCAATACAAATTATTATTTAACGTACATTTAAAATTGGCAGTTGTAGTATTTTTTCAAATAGCTAATTTAGTACATTTGTCTAACGTCGATGTGAGAGAAGCTCGTGTCATTTTGGAACACGTGGCAAAACTATTTATGTCACTATTTTCTATAACGAAGTCATGAGAATGTCGCTCGATTTGAAGAAATGTCTTATTCAGGGTTCGAATTACTAGAATTAATGTGTTCATGACAATGAATTGTGACCTCTTTACGACCTGACAAATATTATAATACTTGCAAGTTTATTCATATTCGATGCTTCTGGAGACACTCTAGCACGCCCGAAGTTGTGTTCGTCCAGCACCAACATTTCCTCTTTTTTCGTCAAACTCCACACAAACGGTTCCATTGTAGTTGGTGCGACTGTGGTCGCGAATGACGTAATTTGTGGTGGAAGGGTAGTTGGAGTAATTCCGGGCAAATGGATTTTGGAATCAAGTGTAGCATCTGTGGTAGAAGCCAATGCCAGTACAAACCCGACAACGGCTAATAGGTATTGCATGTTCCTAGAAATTCAGAGACAAACAAAATGAAACCGTTTCCAACAGACGCCACGCTCACACTGCCTCCGCAAAGTGGACACGGACACGTGGGCTGTTTTGCATAACACGTACACTAGTATTCGTCTATGGCTGTGCTCATTTGCATAACGTGTACACTGGTGTTTGTCTGTTCCTGTGCTACTTGTAATTTTCCGAGTTTTCGCTCTTTGTGATCGCAGTAAATGACTAAATGTTGTTAAACAACACAAATGTCAGGCAACTATATTGAGTTATTCTTAACAAACTAAATATGGAATTACTCGTATATACCCAGATACAAGCTCTGTTTATCCTGTATACTTAGTGCCTGTCACATTTGTTTACTAAATAACTTTCAGTAAACAACTAAATTCCGTTAAATAGCAAAATTAGAAGGCAGCCATATTGAAACCCAGGTTTTTCTTAACAAACTAAATATGTAATTTTGTTATATCTTATACAAAACATTTGTGGAGTTACTAACATGCTCGTATGCTGTTTATGAAGCAGCAAAACAAAAAATAGATTCGGATGAATACACAGGTATTAATTACATTTCTTATATCGATTTCATAAGGTAGGTACCAGAAATGATGTCAGACACACATACATACATAAACACACACAGACAGACAGAATATGTCCCCACTTCGGACTAGGTCCGACAAGGACTAACAATTTAATAACAAATACAGTGATATGGTTTGTATGTAAACTATGAGACTTGTCTGTTTAGCTAGAAAGATCTGTAGTTTGTATTCAAGAACTGCTCGTATTATAGCTCACGCACGTCCCTTATCTGTGAAGTAAAGAACATGAAAATAATAATAAAAGAATAATGTAATTATGAATAATCACTACATCATCTGCCGAACAATATACGTTGTAAAATAGTATATTTCCTGTCGCTAATATTTAAAATAACTCTGAGTAATTCTGCTTTCTGTGTACTTTTGAATAATGAACTCAACGTCCAATTTATATAACATGGCAAAAACTGTAAAAATACAATATATAATGACTTACCTGCAACGTTGTTATTGTTGTTTTGATTGGAAATAACAATGCCGCTACAATCTGAAAGGAAAGACTCACATGTACTCGTGTATGAATGTCGATTGATGTCATTTTTTTTAAACTGGTTTATTCACATCAACTATTCTGCAAATATACTATTTTAAGTTTCCATGAGTTGACCTGAAATTGTTTATGCACTGTTTAGGCTGGCCATCTAGGTAGCTAACAATTCATCGAAATCGAGTCTTTCTCTCATTCCGGAACTTGGTCATTGAAGTTATTCGGTCTTGGTGCATACATTGGACATAATGGGATCTTGATGCACGTAATTGTAATTGTTTTTTCAGATTGGATTCAAAATACCATACATCTTGTCTTGCCTTGACTGATCGTGCTCGAAATCGCACATATTCAAAGATAACTATATACTGTGAATTTTGAAGATGAAAGTATTAGCAAAATCGAACATTTCTGTCATTCCAGAAACTGATCTCTTAACGTCAATCATCGCAATGATTGTCTGTGACAAGATGCGCCTTGGTATGAATTTGACATGATTTGAGAATAACTGAGCTGGATGTCTTGAAAAAATAATTCCGTATCAACTCATCGCACAAATTGGTCCCAGAACTCCACATTGTATGTACGTAACATGCATCTCAAAAACGAGCTCCAGTCTATATGACCCATTGAATGCCAATGAATTGAGACGACTCCAGGTTTTTTTATCCATATACACCATAAACAAAGCATTATGCATTCAGTGCACATTACCCAAATCTACGACGCGACGGACGGGAAAAAAATCCCATACTAGGCGCAGACCACCCGACGCGGCAGCCGCGCCTTAGAGGCTTAAAGCAGATGTGCCAGATGGCAGTGACTTGTAGTGGTTGGAGAACTTGCAGGGCAGTGCAAATAAATGAAAGTGAAAAATTCTAACTCACCTGATAAGGTATGCACACAGAATATGCTAACCACTAGACCACAGAGTCTACACTACTAGGTATCAAGTAAACACTGATGATTGCGAGACAGGGAGGCACATTTTTCGGAAGAAACGTAAACTTGGCCGACTCCTTTCTTTCACCCACTCACATATAGCGTCTAGAGAGTTTGATTCAATGAGTTTTACTCTATTCACCAATATGGCAATAAAGCAAGCAATCAATCGAAATTTGTATTAAAAGACCAGTAGTAGTAAATAGAAATTGTTTTGGACATAGAAATCTGACGAGATATCGTGGTTTATTTTACATCGAGCAGTGCATCTAATGATTGATCCAGAACCAATTATGTTCAAAGACAAAATATGAATAAATACATAGTGTATACACATGGCGCATTACTATAAATTGAATGATACGTACCACTAGTTTGTACCATGATACATTGATTTCTTTGAAACTATATTAGTTCTTTTTGTCTCTATTACATTTCTATAAAGTCGGCTAGTTCTGCAACGAGTGATTAAAGTACTAATATCTGGTGAAATTCAATAGAAGTGCTAAAATGCTGTCCATTTCTGTGGGATATAATCGCCAACATAAGCACTCTCCTTCATCTCCTGACAGCTAATATTCATATTTCTAAAATAACTATGAGGGGTTAATTATCGTGTTATTAAACCTTCATCTGAGGTACCAGGGATCGGGGAGTTCGCCACCTTTTACCAAACAAAGACACACACAAACAGGTAGAATACTCCTTAGTCTCAGTCGCCCGTCAAGACTCTCCAAGACAGAATGCCTCGAGGAAAAGTCCCTCAAGACTCTCAAGACTGCGTGCCTCGCGGTGTTCTCCCAAAACTCCTTTATTTATTTTTTATTTAATATATCGCAGTTTATTTCTTTATATATTGTCAGAAGTTGTTACATTTCAAATCATAGTAAAGAAATTAAAAATTACATATCACAAAGAAATTCTGTTCTCAAAATACGTGTTTTGACAAACCAAATATTTTTCCTGCTAACTATGCTTCTTTAAGATTCACTTATATGTGCTATTTTTTTGAGTATACAAGTATACATGCAAAATAACAAAATAAAGTGGCTGGGTGTGGTGATGCCATATTTCTCCAGACTCTCAAGAATGGTTTAACAAGAATGACAATAATACCGTGTAGAGAACCAAACAAAAAACAAATTCATTACCTTATTTTAAAATTTCCCCACATTTCAAAATAGAGGTTTGTTTTATTTTGCTTAATTAAAATATAGTGTTCAATTTGTTGTAGTTTATGTATGTTCATTTTAACCATATTAAAAAAGGGTAAACTTTTTTTTTAACTTGCTAGTGTATATTGTCCATTTAGTAATGATAATTAGATGATTTAATAGCTTAGAAAACAGAGTATCACCTAATATTTGTTTACATGTGAGAGCACCTGGGGTTCTTAAATGTGTTCCATATTGATCACACAATGTAGTCCAAAGGCTTTTAACATATTCACAATTGACAAACAAGTGTAGGAGTGTTTCTTCAAAACTATGACAAAACGTACAAAGACCAGAGGCCGTAAGAGGAGGTCTCATGTGATGTAGCATGGAGTTTGTATATAGGACATTATGTGTAATCTTCCACTGAAATTCTTGAAGTTTTGTTTCCATGGTGACAGCAAATGGTAAAAGAAATATTTTCTTCCATTCGATGTCTTCAATGAGTAAAGAAAAGAGTACTCTTAGGTGGAATTAAATAAAAGCTAGACAAAATTCTTCGTATTAGCTTGCATTTTAAATCATTCAGATACATGGATTTATCATTAATGGTTATACCTATAGGTAATTGTGGTCTAATAATATATGGCACACAAGCTTTCCACTCACTTGATATAGCCGAGATTATTCCCCGCCATAGCAAAAAGTGGTTCTGCGTCAGACCAATGACTCTCAATGCTTCCCAGTTTTTAAACAGACCAGTGGAATCGTATAGATCACAAAAGTACACAATACGTTTTAAGATAAAATCTGGGTAACATAAACTTATTAGAATTTTTTGGTTGTTCCAAATTATATTTGCTATTGTGTGTTCAACCTCGTAACAATGAATTTTCCGCCAACTGTAGAGTAAACCTTCATAGAACGGATGCAGCATTATGGGTAAATTTTATTTTATAATTACAATTAAAGATCAGAGAACCCCCAACAGTAGATAGATAGTGTGCTAGAATATTTTTCAAAGGATGAGTCTTGTTTTCATTTAGAAATGATTGTATCCATTTAATTCGAAGTGAGTGATATAGAGCAAATATATCTAGCATATTTAAGCCGCCCTGGCCATAGTCTCCAATCAAAGTATTCCTGGCTACTCTGTCATGACCTTTCAAATGAATTTGTGTAGGCGATTGTTCAGTTTACATACATCTTCCATTTTAATGACAATTAGGTTAAATAGATATAAAAATTTCGGGATAACTAGAGATTTAATGATTTGAACTTTACCAATTAGTGCAAGATTACGAGTCTACCATGTCTGCAAACATTTATTTAACGAATCAAAGGGGCCCTCAATATTTTGTTTATATGCTAATGAGGGATTGTAAGAAAAGTAAATCCAGACAATCTTAACTCCTTTATTTACTTCTCCAAACATTGACCAATTACAGGGGAGTTTAAAAGCTTAAGGCGTAGCCTTTATACATTCTATTCACACGTAGCCAATCACACAAAGTACTCAACATGTCATATCTACTGATTAATCGTCTGCGATATCGGGGAATCTACACATACCAAACTAAGAAATAGTTCCAGTAAATGATTTCAGTTCCGACCAAGGCGCCGCATAGGTCAAATTGGTGGCAGATTATGGAAATGTGATGAATGATACGACATAGCCATCCACTAGAACTCAACTATCAGTCTTATCAGTGACCCATCTCATAGACACAGACATAAATCATGACATAACTTTTCGACTAAAGCTATTGTGCATTGTGGTTAAGTACGTCTTGATTCAATAAGAAAACCACAATATCATTTATAAATTTGCGAGTATTCGAAATAGATAGCTTAAAATGTTTACATAATAGGAGATAGAAAAATAAGGTTACAATTACACTAAGTGGCTACATCTGGTCTATTTAAATGGCCTAGTGTTGATTATCAGCAAATTAGTAACGACAGGTGCCATACTGAAACACCCCAAATCCACGTACTTGTGCAATCATTAAATGTAGTGTTGAGTCTATAGGAGAAGAGAAGAGTTGCATCTCAACGACCAAGTATTGTCAGGTGTCAAGATTACAAAATAATGCTACTAGAACAAGTGTATTGCGCGTGTCAACATAATGACGTTACGTTTTTACGTAATACTTTATTCAGGTGAAAAATAAAGCATGAAAAAATACCAGTCTGTAAATATGAAAACTAGTAAAAATTAATACAGTTCCAACAAAGTAAATTTTGTTATCGCAAACGGGGGTATACTTTAGAAATCAATGGCGTCATAGCTTGACACTGATCAGCACATGTTTGGCTCTCATGTAGAAAGTGCTCAACAAAATGCGATATTGACTTCATGTACATTTACGGTAATACTTTTTACGTACTATTATTAGGTCGTATGGCCTAGACTCCCGTCACATACGAACAATAACAAAAAATAGATTTCCCTGGCTTAATATACAAATTATATAGCTTGACAAGTAATATATGTATGAAAATATAATAAAAATCAACAAGTTTGACCTCTATAATATAATCTGCAAATAAAACTAGGCAAAACTGAAACAAATTTAAAAATGAATTCAAAAACGGGCAGTAGACAACAAAATTTGTAAATGTACTCAATACAAAGAAAATGCAACAAACTTAAAATACACAGTTCGAATAGCTAAATGATACAATTTATATATATGCAAACAAAATTAAACAATATACGTAATCATAGTTTCACCCGTTAATTAACAAAAACAACACGTATTAAAACATTGACTGGACATATTATAAATTTATATATAGCTCAGCAACTAATACATAAACTAAAAATACAACATAAAATATATTACATCATTGGTCATAAAATGAGAAAATCAGTTTTAAAAATCATAGTTTGACTGGTTAAATCATAATTTTTATATATATATAACTCAGCAACCAATACATTTGAATAAATGATCTTGAGATTACGTCAAATACTTTCTTCGTTCATTTATGGGACCTAGAAAGAAAAAGAACACTTCTGTTAAATTGACGAAAAATGTCTTTCCCAAGGGCATTATCAAATTATGTACAGGTCTATCTTAGGTTTCATACATGTTTTGTACATTAAATAAATGTTATTTAAAAAATCTTTTAGCCTTATTTTGAAGGTTCTGTATTTATACCAGTTTTGGCGATGTGATACATTTTTCTGCCGTTGTGATCATCTCTGCAACTTTTTTCTATGTAGATTTGTAATCACCCAGTTTTTGTCACATGCACGTAGGGCAGGTGTCAAGGCTTAGCATTTTGTGGGTGAATAATGGTTCTCACCCGGCAAGTATTAAATAAGGTGAACAAGCTAGGTTCGAACAACTTTCGTATTGGCAGTCGGTGCCTATAACCCCTATTTAGTGGCTATGCACATGTGATGGTTAAAATACATTCGCCATCTGGCGACGTGATAATGCAATTGTGATAATGCAACGTGTTTACGCAATTGTACAAGCGAAGCAGTGTGCATTTTTTCGCCTTGTCGACGGATTATCGTGGTACAAGTCGTTAATTGTATCTAGTAGCCGTGGTTTTTCAAATGTAACATCCACTTATGGTCAGCCTTTAGCCGAGCGACATCTAGACGATGCTGACCATGGATATGGCTGTAATACACGATAAATCGCGAATACACGTGTCTTTAAATATACATACAAGCAGAAAAACCTGTTTTAAAGACTATTTCTTACAATATTCAGAATCAAAACTATAGATACTTACACAGACACCACAGAGAACCGTGCACTTCGTTTTCACAATGGCAACAGACTGACAGAACGGCAAAGACCCGACATCGCATATCATAGATTGATCGACTTCACAGGTTTCTGAGGAATATGTCGTACGGTTCATGCATTACTTTAACATATACGCAAATACAGGTAATTGCATTGAAATCTTAGGAAACAAGGACATTGTTCAACATTTAATAATATGTAATATCTACGCCTAGAAAGCAACTATAACACTCAAACACTGAATAATGCGTAATTCAAAATACAGTATATGCTAATTGTATCCAAAAATGAAAGATTTACACCCTGACGTATGGCAAGGAAATGCAGTATATAACAATGTGGTTAGTTTGTCTAAAATGAGCTGATCCAAGTATTACCTTCGCAACTGACTCCGCGCCATCCAGCTGCGCAGTCGCATCGACAATTATCGTAATCCAGTACGCCTCCGTTGGCGCAGGAATACAGATTACACTCTGAGAAGGGGAACAGACAAATAGTTGAATGACGCATTACAATCTATTAGTTACAAAATTCGTATGGTCAAATGCAGCACGTACAGAATGCGATAGTTATCTAGAAAAAGTAGTGTAAAAATATAAATACAATTTTCAACAATATTGAACATGTTGAAGTAAATTTAAACGGCAAAACCAAATCAATAATGGAGATATGATAAAAGAAATTGTCATGCTTGTGCAAGTTTATGGTCAACCATCGCAAAATAAGCTCCTGGTCACAAGAACTATGACTGATCGCGCAGATATTGGGACAGCATTTCACTAGAACCAACCAACTAAGTATCTTAATGAAAAAAAGAAGTCCAATCAGATCTTATTTGATACTTTCGTGTAAAATATTGCGATGTTAATTATGAATCAAAACTATGCAGACTAAAGCCAACAGAGACTCTTCTCCCTCGATGGATGGCCGGACCAACTAATTGTTGCTTCCTACGCCTTTCGTATTGCAGATGATTACACAATTTAGACGTATTTTATAACGATTTTTGCTAAATTTTACGTGTTCGCTTGAAATACAGTTACTTGTATGCAATTTCATTTTAATCTGACATTCCATTTTTCATGATTTTTTCTGAAATTGTGAACGAATCTGAAGAATTGATGCACGTCGCAAGCGTACTGGAAGTTGAGTAGCGACTGTACGGGGCATGTTTATAATACATCTATTTATGCCACTGCAAAATGATTTAGATATTAAAACACGTTTTCGTAATTTGTTTTTCTATATTAGGACTAGTCGTCACAAAACAACTGCAGGGTCGTGGCATGTTTTTGTGTGTGTTCACGTGAAAATTAAAACCATTAAATGCATTTTACTTTTAAAATGTGTAGCATGTTTTTGGACGACATTAATAATAAGCAGAATTTTCCCATATGATAAATTCAAGGTGTCGGTAGTTTTGAACGTTATCCTACATTTTTATTTGATTTCACATCGCTGTATTTTATCATTATTCCGCCTTTAAAACGTCAGTCGTGTTGACTGAAATATGTGTAAATATTGCAGATAAACGCGTGTGTGTGTGTGTGTATATATATATATATTTTTTGCCGACATGAAGATTAAACACACTTTTGTTGCTTGCATTTGGGATACAACTTCTGTCATTAAATTAGCCCAAAATACGCAAACCTGTTAATATTACCTTGATCAGTAACGAGTAAATGGAAGACCATTGTAATGTGCATACCTACCTTGATAAGACCTTCCAGCCCACGGAATAGGACAAAAACATTTGCAATGATCTTCACTCCATTTCAATTGTCCACCATTCTCACAAACGTTATGAGCATCGAAACAAGCTACAATATACAAGTTTGTTATTAATGTAACCATTACGAGTTTGTGCGGGAGATAACAAAAGACACATTAGTTTGCGAACGGAATTTTAAAG